TCGTTTCTCATTTCCGCTGTTAGTATAAATTCTGGTTCAGTTCTTCATCTTATCGCTGGTTCATTGTTTGGTTTCTTCACCTACTGTTTGATGTTCTTCGTGGTCTCCATGAGTTTATATTTGTTTGCTGCCTCGACAGCTTTTGATTTAATTTTGTTTAAGAAAACTTTTACTTCTAACAACTTAACTCTCCGCCTTGGTACTGGGTTCGCTCCTCCACCACACATCATTACACAGATGGGCAAAAAACATTCGTATCCATCTTCACCTTTTGGCAGCAGGCAATAAATACACTCAACAAAAGTGTTGGATTTACTTTAAAATTATATCAATTGGTTCCACTCAATTAAACTGAGAAATATAATGCATTTACKTAACATCCAATTTAATTCATTGTATTTATATAGCGCCAAGTCACAACAGACATCAACTCAGGGCACTGTACACAAAAAACATTTACTTTTAAAGTAAATGAAAAAAATGACTTTACATTTAATTAGTAAAGTTGAGTGAAACCAGTTGTCATAATTTGTTTAAGTGAATCCAACACATCTGTTTTTAAGTGTAAATAAATAAATAAATAGTCAGATAAACTGTTGGGTGTGAATTGTTTCCACTTGTTAGGTTTTTCCATCTGAAAATACAGTATGTATGTTCATCTGAAGTATGTATTTGTTGCCATTTTTGTTCTGTGAAATGATGCTGGGACATTGAAACAAATATTTTTCCAACTGAATTAACTTCTTTGTTTCTCTTCTCTTTATCTCTCTTTTTTGCCTCCAGTTGTCGAGTGCATTCTAGCTATACCTGAGCCAAAGACACACTGGGAACCTGTTTTTGGCACCTGTGTCTTCCTCTTCTCCTTCTTGATTCCTGTGGCTATTATCAGCATCTGCTACAGTCTGATGGTGAAACGCCTGCGAAATGTTCGCATCCTGTCTGGCTCCAAGGAAAAGGATCGCAACCTACGGCGCATCACTAGGATGGTCCTGGTTGTTGTGGCTGTGTTTGTTGTTTGTTGGACTCCCATCCAGATCATGGTCCTGGCTCAGTGCCTGGGCTTGAACCTGAGCAGTTTGTACACGCTGATGCACTTCTTCATCGCCCTGGGCTATGTCAACAGCAGCTTGAATCCTGTTCTCTATGCCTTCCTAGATGAGAACTTTAAGCGCTGCTTCCGTGAGTTCTGCCAGCCTTCTCCATTCCGCCTCGACACCCAGCAGTCAAGCAGGATGAGGAGCATCGCCAGGGAGGTGGCAGCAGCCTACAGCTGCAAGACCGGAGATGGTGGGGGACTAGGGGGTGGGACGCCTAATCCAGCATGACTAGGCGTGGAACTCCCTTTGATGGGGATAGAACCCCCACAAAAGGGAGAGACCCATGGGAGCTCCAACACAGAATTGACTCAAATCACAGCCCTCTAGCGGCACGAGCCCTCCCGCCCTACAACTCGGAGACTAGCCTGGGGCGGGGGGGATGGAGATGAGGAGGATGGGGTTGAAAGGAAAAGAATTTAGCCTAGGTGTAAAAAAATTATTCATCATTAGGGGGGAATGATACATACATTGAAATTCTCTGTGCCTGATTTGGATGTAGCTCAACCCACAACCCTAAATGTAGATGGCTAACTAATTTAGACTGGTTGAGATGAGGTGATTCATTCTGAATCCAAATAGTAAAACCTTAAGAAAGTTGCTTAAGGACCTAACTACAGTCCCAAAAGTTCTTGAAGTGTCTTGTTTTTGGTTTTAGCTCTAGAAAAGTTTCCTGAGCTGAAGAGGGTTCTGCTGAGTGAGTCTGTTTATTGCTGCGTCGCCACAAAACTGCCAGACAGTATACACACATTTGAATGTGTGTTTAAACAACAAAGGATTTATAGTGCTTCAGATACAAAATCTATGAAACTCTAATCACTACTTTGATTATCTTTGGTAGTTGAGGACTGTGCATCTTTTAATGAACAGGTTGCAGCTCTGTAGCAGTTAGGACCATGAACTACAGACTGGCCAGAGTTGTGCCATCAAATGTCAGAAACACACTTTTACTACAGTTTACATTGTATTTGTTGTAGATAAATTTTGGTTTTAAGGCCTTTTGGTCATGAGTGTTGATTTAAAGAACAAAATATGTCCAATAACATCTCCAGCATAAAGACACTGCTGTCCTAGTCTTGCTCATATGATTCTAGTATTAATCTGCAGCTCCCCTCTTTTAACTCACATGTTGTTTTCTTTGTGAGGTCAGAGACTGGATGACAGATCTGCATGCAAGGATGAGGGTGGAGTTCAAACAACATGAGGCCAAATAGGCTTGGCATGTGTTAAACAGTATATGTGGGCACAAACTCAATAACAAACAGTAACGCTCACATAGTATGTCAGATTTTATCAACATATCCTGGAGCAAAGTAAACCTAAGAAATGTTGTCCTACTGCAAGTTTGACAATGTGTTTATGGGGAACTTTCAGCCTTGATGTTATTTCGTCGTTCTGGTACTTTTGAAGCTTTGGTCAGTTTGTACTGACATTTTTTGGGTATTACAAGAAGCCACTTCTGAAATCCACTTTTCCCACATCTTCTTGCCTCGGTGACGTATGTTTGTTATTTACCACCATTTACCATAGGCTGCTGACCAACTATTAGCATAGATGCTAACTTAACACTGAAAATATCAAAGACAAGCTGACATGACAAACAGTATTTATCACTGAAAATTTATACACAAATCAAACAACTCAAAGTCAAGTTCTGTTAACTTCTGCTAAACCTGAATATTCTTCAGGAGTCAGTGAAGGAAAAATGAAAAATATATGAGAACACAACTTTACTGCAATATGATTCTACTAGACAGTACTACAGTAAGCTAGGACAATTACAGAACCCTAAAATCATTAGGATTAAGGTATTCTTAAGGCTAGTATNATATATATATATAGTGTTTATGGTGTGTGCATAAGTACAAGAAGGTACATCAACTGCTCGGGATGAAATGACAGCCATCCAGTGTCAGTATTGGTACAATTTGTGATAGACACAATTAACCTTGCACATCTACCACCAAGATGACAAAATACCTCATTGCAGAGGTCTTGTGCATACTCAAAACCACTGTGGTACTCCTGAAGACCTCACCAAGACCCCACAAAGACTGTACACATTCTGGCTGTTTTCTTTAAGGGTTTTGTTTGTGTTGCGGGGTGTTTAACTGGTGTTAAGGGGCCTAAATGCTTCATACTTCTGACAGAGTGCAGCAATGTTATAGGCTGAAGGAAAACAGGAACACATTTTGTTTGGATTTGTTTCCATATGAGTTCTGCCTGCTGACAGTTTGGAGGATTTATTTTGATAAGCTTGATGATCGTTTTTATCTGTTCTCAGAGGGTTTTATGAATACAGGTCACATTTTGTAAAACCTAAAAGATTTTAAAAAATTTAATCAACGTCCAGAGCATCTAGAACTCTGGTTAATTTGTCTTTAAGATGAAATGTTACGCTGAGCTGTGACACACTGTTGCTTCTTCAGTTTTAACAACAAAACATAAACTTTTGTCTTTTTGTTTTGTGGTCTTACTTTGCAGCAGGTCAGTTTGGTACAGCAAACATTCTGTTCATAAAGATCAGTATAAATATTGTGTCTTTTAGCTTCGTATAGATATTTTATTGTAATATTATTATTTTAATGAATTATTATTATTATTATTATTATTATTATTATTATTATTATTAAAGTCGATTCAACTTATCTTTGACTGGTAGAGCTTCTCAATCACCTAGAACAGTGGTTCCCAACTTTTTAGACTTGTGTACCCCCTGAGCTATTTTATCATACCACTAGTAGCCCCTCAGTCAAACGTAATGACGATTCTTCAAAACTATAACGTACAACAACTGATTATTAAAGGAAAATTATTTATTTAAACCCCTAGAACTTTTAATTCTCAGCCATTTTATTCTTTTCAACTCAAATTAAAATTAAAAGTGAATAAATAATTAATAAATAAACCAGGCAGGTGCAGGAAGCAGCAGCGTCCAAAATATGTCAGAAACTCGCTCAAATGAGCAAATTCTGTGAGATTCTGCATTTTATACTGGATTCCATTTTGTCWYTTCCGTGATTCCGTCTACATTTTCTGCATTGCGGAAATCATAGGGCCCTACATACCTCAGTCCTATTTTTATTTATATTTTACACACCTGGGAAACTTTTTCACATACCTCCTGTAATATGCTAATGTACCCCAAGGGGTACCCATACCCTTGGTTGGGAATCACTGACCTAGAATATTACATCAAAAATTAACTATTTATCTTATCATCTAGGTAGCATTCTCAATTTAAAACTCAATTCAGTTTATTTACATAAAGCCAAGTCACAACAAGCATCGTCTCAGGTCTCTGTCCAAAAAAACAGCCAATCTAAAGAAAACAGCAGGTTTACAACCATGCTTATGTCTGTAAAAAATGTAAGAAAATGTGAATCAAGTGGTGTGTAGACAGCGGTCCAGCAGGGTACCAATCTGATGTCAAAATGGTCCTGTTGTTGATTGAGAAAGTTCCCAGGAAGCATCTTGACTTGAACCTCAACTCTTGGTATAAAACAAACTAAAGTGGGCAAAATGAGGGCAGAGGTGAGAACAATGTGGGTAGAGGGAAATATAAACCAGCTGGTGGCTTCTTTTTTTACTCAAAAAATGTAATGCCAAATCTACTTTTGATATTTGTAAAGTTATTCTGTGTAAATACTTGTGTAGCCTGTTAATGTGATACAGCAAAAATTGCTTAAAACACTGCTGAAAATGTGGACTGAGAGAAGGTTGCTGAGCAGTACAATTGATTATTTGGACCAATTTATTTACCCGGTTGTCTGATGGGATTTGACATGAATGACCATGTCTTGCTGTCGTTTGTCTACTTAAGAACACTGACTTGAAGCAATGAAATGATGAGTTAGGCATGAAGGACTTAACCAGTACTGGCTGTTGATGATTATTTGGTAAACTGCATTTATGAAGGAGTCTTTAAAATCTCAAAAACATTTGCATGTTAGAGCTTTCTTACCTTCACGATGAATCCCTGACTTGGTTTTTGTCCCGTTGTAGATTGTGGGAATATGTGTGTTGGTGTTTTTGACCTTGGATGTTTTATTGCGGTTCCAAAGGATGTAACACAGTCACACTCAAACCCTGGGGTTCAACGTCATTTCTTTTAAAAAAGTTTAAATGAACTTTAATTTGCTTCATCTTTTACAAGTTTGGTGGAAACTTTGTGGGTTTTCTGGCTTGTGGAGGGAGAGAGTACTGTATTTACCACTGTCTGCTGTTCTTCCTCTTGAAAGTTAATGGTGTACAGGGTTAGCACATCACTCTTGTCAAAGTCATTTTCCTGTTTTCATCGTAAAATCTCAATGTATTCCAAACACGGCCTTCAGGGCAGTAAAGTCCTCAGTCAGCCATCTTGTTACTGTGTCTAAGTTGTGATCATGTATTAAAGGGTCGGGATGCTGCTCATCCACCACGTTATGAAATACTAATCGGTTTTAGACATTTTAAATTTGATTCAGAATTATTTATGTCTGCATCTCAGTGCGTATGAGCACCACCTCTACTGTCATTTCTAACATGCACTCCAGGAGATTAAATCATTAATGCGGTGGCAGCTGAGGTGGACAACAAAATAATGTGCACAGCCTACAATAAGGTTTAGAAAAGTGTGCACACAAAAATAAGTTTGGATTTTCAGCAACAGGCTGTGCAAACATTCAGTGAGACTGCAGTTAAAACGTATTTGGAGCCCAATGAGGAACTGGCACGGAATCATAAACTGGTATCAAATAAACTCTTTAGAGTAATAAAAAGTCCAAAAGGGTGAAACCCAATCATTTGAAAGTGAACAGTTGACAAATGGTCATAACTGAAATTGGAATAAATCGCAGAGAGAAACCATAAACACGCTGGTCAGATGTTGTTTGGACACATTTATGCATGTTTACAGATGAATGTAGAAACATTTACATAGAATATATTCTTCTTGTGCCGCTTCTGTTGAGCTTTGTTTTGTCGAACGTCACAAATCCTGCACACTGTACCTTTAGGTTTGACCAGTGAGGTCAGAGACCCTGAAAACAGACAGGTGGGAGGAAAATGTGATGAAACTGACTTTTTTTTTTTTTCAAAATACAAGAGGGCTTGATGATTATCTAGATTTTATTGAGCCGTCATGAAGCGGAGCCGTGTGACAAATAGGAGACAATTATAAATGTGCTGAGAGGTACACATCTGGATTATCTGTACAAATCGTTATTCCAGATGTGCCAACTCTCCACTTGAAGCTTGGTGTGGGGGGGGGGGTGCTCTGGATGAATACATTCATGAATACATTCATGCTGAATGATCAGACTGCTGCTGCTGCTGCTGGAGTGGTTCTGACTTCCAGCACCAGGCCGAGCCACAGGGTTCAGACTCCATTTCAAGGGACAAAGGGGCTTTTTTGTATCTCTTCTTGGTGTCTTCAAGTGAAAATCAGCTCTGAAACAGAAATCACAGAGCATTCATGATGAGTTTTAGAATTAACTCTGACTGCTTTCAGCTGAATCGACTGAAGTTCTGTAAGATCAGGTTTCTGACAATGAACAAACATGATTAAAAAGAAAATCATATAAAATGGAATTTAGTTGGATTTATTTTCAATCTTATTGAAGTTAAACACTTTTAATAGATGGGATGTTTTTTCTGTTACTCTCTTTCTGCAGAAACTTCAGTAGATGACAGATAGCTGGGAAATAAGTGTTAAACATGTCAACGTTTTCTCAGAAAATCTATTTCTAATAGGGTTATTGAAATCAAATTTGCATCATGTTTTATCAACACAAGGAATCCACTTGCAGAGAAATCAAATAAGTCCATAACTGAAATGTCAGCGTGAACACCTAATGAGAATATGCATCAGTAAAAAGCAGCCTCTGGCACCTCTGCCAGATGTTGTCATATCAGCACCACATCACCACGCCCTGAACATTTGATGATGTTCAGAATATTTTGAGTCTTTTTGGGAACAGAGACATATGAATGCTACTGAAAACATACCTTATTTGATGATGATAAAGTGAATTAGAAAGAAGTATTGAACACACAGTGTTAAATGTTTAGTGGGAAAGCGTTTTGTGTGTGAAGTGATGCATGACATTTATGTTTTTGACCTCAGCACAACAAGGATTATTGTCCATCCGTCACATTTATTTCCATTCTGACATGAGAACTCATGTGTTTCTCAGACTATCGGAATCTTTTGTTAAGTTATGCAGCCCCCTGAGAAGGCAGTTCCAGCCAGTCAGACCCCTAATCTCATCTCCATGGTAACAAGGCGAAGTGGAAGGTTTACAGTATCTATTATCTGTCACTGACCTTGACAGAGCAGAGAGGCTGCACAAGTGGTTAAGTCTGATCGGTTTAGTTTGGTCTGACTAGATTTTCTTAGTATTTGATGGTTGTGTCCAAAGGTTCTGCAGCAAAGTTTAAAACAGCTTCAGAATACTTTCCTTCAGCTGTCAGATTTTATGCAGTGAGCATGCAGACAGCCTGTGGTGTTTAAGTGTATTGCTGTTTTTTTAACTATACTTCTTAATTGTACTTTTTTCTAAGGTTCAAATGGACAGGTTTTATTCTTTTGACTCCCCTTATCTTGTGAGGAAATACATTTGGAATCAATGCAACAGTAAGGTCACAAAGATCTTTAAATACTGTAGCTCTTTGCTTTTACCCATCATCATCATCATCATCATCATCATCATCAGGTACTTGTTGGTTTGGAAATGAGAAGCCTTTTTCTGAGCCAACACTAAAGGCTGAAACAAACCAATATTTTGCACCGATCTTTTGTGTGTTCAAAACTTATTTCTTCTGTCATTTCACTTTATGAA